TTGGATTTCATAGTATTTTGAAGAGCATTTGAAGGCACAAACATTTGATTAGAGAGGCAGGAAAGAAAATTACCTAACCTCAATTTATTATGAACCTGAACAGGTGTACTCTTCTCACCACCTAAAGGAAAGTAAGTTGTCATCAACTTACTTTCTGTATTTTCAAGACTCTACGCAGATAGATGTGATGCTTCATAGACAAGGAAGATGAGGGACCAGTCCACCCAGTCCTTGCTCTTTGATATGAAACCTGAAATTGTAAGCAGAGAAGACAAAATACGCTAGATGGAGACTAGAGTTATGAGATTACATATAGCAACTACTACTGTGTTAGCATTAAATAACAGCAAAAGGCAAACAGGAAAAAACACTAGCTAGCACACGCAGAATTAAGTACTTACTTCCAACTGAGAGAAAGAGAAGATAAGTGAAATGAAAAAGGGTCTCCCAGTCTAGCGAGGGACCTGTGTCAATATCAACCAAAGTAGTTTATATGTACCAAGCAAGTCTCCAGATGGAAGGTGTACCTTCTCTGCCAAGACAATTCTCTAGGGCAACATTGGATGAGGTCTTCTCAAATAAATAGATGTGAAATGCTACAAGGAAAAAATAATAAATAATTGAACTCCCCTAACATTCTCTTTGTAAATTAACTAGATGTTTTAACTCCCCTTCTTTTTCACTTTTTCTGGCGCAAGAACCCCAAATCCAATAAACACATCCATCCATCTCACAAAAGGAAAAAAAAAAGTGCATTTCATATCAGATGCTTTGCGTCAAGCCTGCTAAGGCTCATAAATCAGCTGTCTTATTGCCCTGGTCATTTCAACCAACGTCTGACCCTTTTGTTAACTTATGATTTATAACTGGAAGTTACTTTTTTTTTTAATGCCAGATTTATAAACTTTACTGTGCTTGGTTTGATATAATATCCATTTTGTACACCAAGCTATAAGACAGTAAATTTATTGTCTATGAACTGTTACCTTGAAAAATTACATCAATGCAAAGTGGTTTCCATTTAGAATCAATGGGCAATAAATTCATTGGATTTTTTTTTTTTTTAAGGGGGAGAGAACATGATGATATTTATGAGGTCATGAGCAGCTATATAACGGGTGAAACTGGGAGCAGGGGCAACAGTCAAGACAGGAGTTCTGCATTACAGGGGTAGACAAAGACGAAATACATTCAACACAGCAACAATGCATAAGCTGGTATTCTGCTGTCTCATTATTATCAGCTTCTCCTGTCCTCTCTCGTCTCTCCCCATCATCAACGCCAGTGAGATGTCTTATCAACTCTCAGGTAAGAGTCTTTTGATTTTAATGGCCATAAAGCAGGTGCTGGAGCAGTAAACCCAGAAGAGAAGCAGGTATGCTTTCTGAGGGGCCTTTATCTGTGCTGCTCAGCTGTAGAAAAAGCAGGAAGCAGTGCAAGTGATATAATCAGTGGGTGTTAGTCTTGTAAAATGGGGAGGTTGGGTGCCCTAAATATTTCTTTCTGCTGCTTTGAGATCCAGGAGACAAAGGTATCTGAGCCTTCCAGCACTGCATGCGAGCTGGCATATTCAGCGTCTGTCTTTGAAACAGTATTAGTAGGCATTGGGCAATTTAAAGAAACTTGGCTGTACAGTCTCTCCTCTTACTACACTTTAAAATGAGCTACATTTAACTGAAGTTGTATTTAAAAAGGGGGAAAACCTACTGCAAAGATTAATGCAGTCCTACTTAGATCAAGAACAGGCAAGTCCATCTTAGACTACAAAAATAGCAGTGTATTGAGCATGCTATTTGTTTGCACTAATGCAGATTCCATTCAATCCAGTGAAAGAATAAATCTTTTCTTGAAAAAAACTGTCCTCAAAGTTTCAAATTATACTGTAAGTCAAGACTGAAATAGCTCAGTAAAAACGCACCACAGAGTTCGGAAGGTTACTGTCATCAGACCTGACTTGTGCTGGAAGAGTTTCTGAAATGAGCTCTAAAAGAGCAGGCAAATCAAACCCAAAGTTATTGCATAAAGCTATTAAAAAAGCTGCTGTTCTTACCTGCTTTGCAGGTGCAACAGCCATTGTGCTTGTTTATAGGTATCAGTAGTCCCCAGTTTGCTTTGAAAAATCTTGGACTCACTAAGCCAGCATCTTCTCAAGCCTTTCACTATGTAACTTACATTTACAGGCAACCATGACTCAGTATGGATAACATCTATCACATCACAGGGTGAACAAGCTGGCTCTAACAATTACCGCATTTGTTTGAAGACATCCATTAGGCTTATTAAATCCTCCTTGCAAATATAAAGAGTCTCTAGGCTGGATAAGATAGAAGTAGAACTCTGTATTAAAGAGGGTTGCTTTGATATTTTTAAGTCTCAAGCCAAATTTACCTGCTAACACTGCTCTGAAGTAAAAAAAATAATGCAAGGCTAGAGATACGAATTGTCTCCACATAGCACAGAGAAGCTACAGTCATCTTAGAGTCTTACACTGAAATCCCCACTATCCTCTGCAATTGTCCTTTCGTACAGTGAACAAACTAACAACGTGGATGTCCAAGGTCTTCAAGTTCTTGATCTTGGTCCAAGTTTTTGAAATGCTAGAGGATTATTTTCAACAGATTATTTTTTTATGTATTCCCTATTGAGCAGCTATACCTCACCCATCCCTTTAAGTTAACAGCAACTAAGACTCCATAGTATCATCTAAAAGTGCAACTACAAACCAATATTAATCTACACAACTAGAGTTTGATAATAGCACCCTCGTTGCCCACAATTTTGAATGTCTGTGATATATTAGCAAGTATGAAATTTACTGCTCAGATTACAAAAGCCTTATTTGCCTCAAGTATAAGTATAACACCACTAAGGGCTCCTGTTAGCAACTTGCCTTGGGGTACAGGCTAGTTACAGAATTTTAAATTCTCTATGCACATATAAATTAATTCCATCAGGTATCAGCAATCTGTTGTTTCCAAAAAAGTAATAATATCTGTATTGGTACGCACATTAACTGAGAGAGATGACTGAAATGCACTGAGAAGCATAGCTCCCAAAATAAGTTTTAAGATTTCCTACATTTATTCCTGCCTGTCTCCCCATTTTATTGCATTTAATAGTTGGGAAACTGAGCAGGTTAATAGACCTTGAACAGGAAGTTCTGTCTTTATTCATAGCAAAGCTCTAGCACAGTTGATAAAGAAATGGACTAAAATAAATAAATAGTTTATATACAAGCCTGGGTTGTCTACAGCCGAGTACCAGAAGGATTAGGTTGCGAGTTCCCCAAGCGATGGGAGGGGCTGCTGTTGGTCAAAAAACTATCTTAAAGAAAGATCTACCAAAGAAATGACAATCTGAGATTAACATCAGAAAGGTATCTTTTCTCAAAGCTTGGGAAGGAATAAACCAAAACCCAGCTATCCTCTATTATAGTCATTAAATGAGGATGGATGATGGGTGATTTCATGATAATCTTCAACAGGCGGGGCCAACAAGCCTGATCAGAAATCATCTGAGATGGATTGAAACAGGGATTCAAAGCAAAAGACTCTTACCATATTCTGTCATCCTCCATTTGCAGCTGATGAAGATTCAAGATTAAATCTGGAGCGGATGGGCAGCCTAAGCAGCACCTCCTTGCTTCAGTTTCTGCCAGAGCTCTTGGGCACACTGACTGAAGACAACAAAGCAGGTGAGGATTTACCACAGCAGTTTATGGGACAGTGCCCATGGTTTGCCTGCCCAGTTTCCACAGATACTGTGCACCAACTCCTGGGTATTTACTGAAATACAACATCATGCGTAGGTGACATGGAGCTGTCATTTAGCTAACTGAGACTGTGGGGAAACCTGCTGAGCCGCCACACTTGCAGCTCAATACTAGCTGGAAAAGTCTCCAAATTAGGAACTAGCAGACAAAACAAAATAGCAGTGTCCCTTAAAAAAACATCAGTTCTTGCAGAAAGTACAGAATCAATAGCAATAGATGGTTTGGGGGGTAACCAACATAAGAGATGCCTGCTGAAGAGAACAGTACAGCCTCCATCTTCAGAGTCCCCAATCCTACTGGAACTGTGTGCCACAAGAAGAACTGGCTGTGCTGCAGCACAGGGTTTTCTGTCTCGTCCTCTGAACATTCCAGTTCAAGACTTCTGCTGGCTATAGCATTACGGCACAAAAAATGACTTGTGTAGGTTCACAATTTCTGAGTGCTAAAACATTTAATTATGTCTCTCCTCTACCAGGTCCTAGCCCCAGCAGCTACAATGCAAGGGAAAATATCAAAGAGGTAAGTAAATGACCATCAGTCACTGAAACAAGAAACATAAGACTCCACATTTCAAACTACACTGAATGGTTACTGAGACATCATTTAAGATCCACAGACTTCATAAACAGTATAGACTAAAGTATGTCACAGTGTTCTTAAACTGAAATCACTTAGCAGTTAGATAAGCAGGGGAGGAAAAAAAAAAAAGAAAAAAAGAAAGCAAGTAATCCAGAGCATTTCATTCTAAACCTACCACTTTTTTCCCCTCAGAAAAGCAGCTTTCTAAATAAAGGCCAACTTCCAGCTTTGCCAGACCAGGCCATTAACCAGTACTAGCTGCGTGCCATTTTTTTCCCCTGTGCTACAACACAGTATTATCAGATTTGTTATGAACCATTAGGTAAATAGAGAACGTAATTCCTGTTCACTTGTTGGCTGGATTAAATATAAAGGCAGAAGACAGAGACTAGTTGTAGTGCATCATCTAAATCACAGGGCACCCTGGGCAGCTACCTCTCCTTCCCCAGTCAGAACACAGGGCTGTGTGACCAGCTGGGGTGGTGAAGAGCGTACTTTCCCACTGGGAACACTTACCATCCAACATGCTGGTTGACGCTAATGCTCTCTAATGCTGTTTGACTGCAGACTTTCTATGGAAATCATCCTCGAATTGCTTTGCTGGGCCGCTTCTTGACCAAGGACAGGAAACAGTACAAGAAACGTGGGAATCTTTCCGAGTGCTTCTGGAAATATTGTGTGTAAACAGGAGAAGAAACTTTCCCTGACTTTGACTGCATAATTTATACAGATGTCTGAAAACATGTATATAGATTTGCTTGATTTAAAATGAGAATGAAGAAATACGAAGACAGCTCCTAACTTTAGACTCTATATTACCTGAAAATTAATAAATTCTTGATGTTTTGCAATTATGCTGTGAGCAGTGTAGTATTTTCTTAGAGTTCAGCACAACAGGAAGAAAGTAACGGGACAGAGAGATAAATATGCAACACGAAGAGAACTCAGGCAGGGGAAGCAAGATTCCCCTGGGGTCCTGTGAAATCCCCCAGAAGAGTGATGCCTCAACTGCCTCTAAGTCCCGAGGCAAGAGGACTTTCTCCTTTGTCACTTGACGTACATTGGGGTGCAGGAAGAAAGGTGAGGGATGGCAGCTTAACAGTGCCCAGTCCCCTCCTGCCATCCCCAAGACACCACAAAACCAATAAGCACATCAGGATCAAGCATCTGATCCCACTACTGCTGGGGAGAGATAACTGCTTCTCTTGGTCACTTGTAAAAAAAGACCCACAAACCTATCTCTTTGCAACACCTTGCCGAGTCCTCAGCTGCCCATGACAACACGGTTGCCTATGCATAACACAGGCTTTAAGAACCGGGTCTGATTATCACCAAGCATAGCATGGAAGGTAAACACTATGGTTGTCTATGCCAAGGTTTTACACCCAGATAGTGGACAGTCAGTGGAGGCAGACAGGGATAACATGACTTAAAAGATTCTGTGACTGTGTCCTGCACTTATCTGGCTGCACACACAGACGTGGGAAGGTGATGTACGGACATAGATCACAAGTGTTACGAGGGCAAGCCACATCCTGCTTGAGCGCTCAAGGGCAGTGGGATTGGTTCCCCTGAGCCACCATACGGTTTTTATGCTGCTGTTTTATCTTGGCATCTATAGTAAATGAAGGAGAAAACAAAAGAGCAGCTGCAAAAGGGTTCTAGTCTCACTCCTTTGCATGCGGAGTACCAGCATACTTTTTCAATCCTACGTACTTCTGGAGAGTATCTGCAACGAATAGAGCTAAAGAGTCAGGAATTGTCCCTGGAGGATAGCAATCTTGATAATACGCACAAACGGTTGGAGCTGTGAAGCCTGCCCTTTCTTTTTCAATACATACTTCGCATAAACCTTGCACTAATCAAGGCTCACAGAAAGGTTGAAGAAAACTTCACCTAACAGTGATACACATGCTAACATTGATCTCAGTAACACAGATCATGTATCTCTGACTGTGCTGTTTAAACAAGGCCTTTAGGTTTGATATAACTTGTTCACTTCACATAAATTGTAAGACAGAGGAAGCCAGCTATAACAAAGAAAAATGTCCTTACAAATGCAGAGCAGCTGGATGCACTGTGCAGCTATTTGAAATCTTCTGAACATTCATCCTTCTCTTACACAATGGAGCAAGTCAGTGCCTGTCTGGAAATTACTCTTTTCCTGCCACCTCATCGGTCAATAAAAACTTGTAAGACAAGACTTCAAATTTATCTAAGTGAATAGCCATCTGAGATTTATTTCATAGACAGGGAAAGGTGCAGAGCCTACAAAGCCTGGGGCGGTAGTGGGGGAAATCTGTTCAATCCCACTTCAAAAATTGCAAACACAGCAAAATAAATAAAACCACAATGAATAATAATAAAAAAATATTACAAGTATTGAAAAGTTCACTAGCCATTTACATAACAGAATAAAGAGAGCTGTCAGGTGGTGAGGATGGAGTCAAGACGAGGTGATCGAGCTATAAACCCTCAAACTGTTTTGGCTTTCAATGCTGCAAAAATACTCGCTAGCAGTCACAGCGTCTAAAGAAGCAAAACAACTTACTGCATTCAGCTAGGCCAGAGCACACCAGTGTGTGTGTGTGTGTGTGTGTGTGTGATTCAGCTAATTCTGGTCTAGCAGAACTTCAGCAGAGCCTGAAACTTCCAGTCATTCACAGTCCTTGCCCCAGTAGGAAGGAGTTCAGACTGCATTTTTGGACATGACCGGGAGTTCTCAAAAAGATGACTGTTTGAGACCCTGATGCACACCTAACTGCCTCCTTACTGAAGCAAACATTCATGGCAAATGCCAGATAAACTCAGTTCCAGGGCCCAAGAGCAGAGAGCCCAGCCAGTCCGCAACAGAGAAGGGCAAACTCCACTTCTCCCCCATCCTGCTATAACCAATAGCTCCTCCCAGCTTTCAGCTCTGAGCTTTTCCTCTCTTCTGCAGACTAGAGACAAGAAGGCTGGAGCTGTCAGGTAGAACTAAAGAGATTGCATGAAGAGCTCTGGTGAGCAAGGCTGATCGTCTTTCCACTGGACAGGGCAGAGCTCTTGGAGCAGGCAGAAAGGTGGGGAAGAGAGCCACAAGAGTCCTGTCTATGCCAGCCTGAGCCTGCCTGTAAAGGCTTCGGGCGGCAAACTGGAGCATCAAATGGGACCCAAGCAGGTAGACACCAGTTCGAGATGCACAGGAGCAGTATGCAATATATACTCTGAAAGTTAATGCAACTGTGGAGCAAACATACTACAGAAAAGCTACGATCCCATTACTTTTGAGATTGGGGCAAGTTAAGAATCACAGGTCTGATACTTATCTCTCACCATCTGCCAAAAATACAGAAGTACATCATTCAGCTCACCTTTGACATCCACGCAGAGGTGAAAGCTACAGATTTATAACTGCAAGAACTTCAGTTGACAGAAGGATGACTATTGACAAACCAGTAACATAGCTGGACTGACACTGCCCAGATCTCTGAATAAGAACATAGCACCATCTTAAACTTTTTCATTTTACAAGTCTCTTCATTTCTCCTCATAACTTACCTAGATAATTTGGCTCAAATTTGTAAGTATGTTTAGAATGACCAAATCACCCTTTTAAAAATTAATAAACCGTCAGCAAAAATATAGCCGGTTACCTTTGAGATGCCTGTATTTCAAGGAATTGCATCACGTACCTTGTCAGAAGCAACTTCAGTTACATACTTATCTAAGATTACTTCTTTTCCAGTTTTAATAAGATGCTACATCTTTTGTTCTGTACCTTGCACTCCCTGCAGTGACTTTGCCTTTCTCCCGCAGGCTTCTTCAAGCACTGTTGACCACACTTCTCTCTAAAGTCCCTTAAAGCAGAAAAAGATGAGCAAATTGTCTCCGTGCAATCAGCTAAGAAATTTATTGCTCTATGAGACATGCCTGTGAAGTAAGCCCATGAATTGTTTCTTTTTACTTCCTCTATAACACAAATTTTAGCATGGTGGGGCCAAAGTGCTTCCAGGGTGTTTATTATTTACCTTTTCTAACAAAATCAGCACAGACAGAAGCTTTAAATCCTGCATACCAAGCCCCAACAGCTTACACATCCAAATATAATCCTTGACGTTCAAAAGGTACTTGCCTGCCTTTGTGGGATGCAACCAGAAAGGAAATAATGTGTCCTGAAGTAGGCAAGGTAGAGAGAGATAAAACACTCCACAAAATCCCAGGCAAAACAAGAGGAATGGCCACTACATGACCGCTTTCACTGTATCCACAACCTCAACACCTACGTACAATCAGAAAAAAGTAATGACTATTCTTAAAAGTCTATTTTCTAGAAATTACCAAACAACAAAAGTAAACACACACTTGAAATAGTTCTTTGCAGCATATTTTTTCAGTTTTATTTATAAAACCAGAAGCTCCTTTAAAGCATACAGTTAAAATCACAACTGTAAATTCAACCACAGCTGAATATTATTTCAATAAAATATTCCTATCAACTGATGTAAAAATTCATTCGATTGTGATTTAAAACTTCATTCAGCTGGAAGATAAACTTACCGATACATTACTCATTCAGCAAATATTTATCGCACACTGTAAAACTGGGGTCCCTCCTGTTCATAGCAATACCATGAAAATATTTGCACATCAACTCATCTCTTAAAAACGTAATTCTGTATTTATGAATATAATAAAAAAAAAATTGCCAGTGAACTCCACCAAGTTTCCAAACTGCTGATGCCCCCACAGGGGGTAGTAACTGCATCATTACTGTACTTGCGCATTTTCCCTTTGATCACCAAAAAAGTGACCTTCCAAGCAGCTCTAAACTGTCTGCAACAATTATGCCAGGCAAAGCAAAGTCACATAAACAAAATAGCATGTGCAAATCTGGCTGCAATATTTACTCCATTGGTCTTTCAGATCAGAACTGGATCTCACTTCGACTATTCCAGCAAACTACAAAGACTGAAAGACTAATACAAGCTGAAGTAAAAATTAACAGTTTCTGAAAACTTATGGAAACACAGTCCTTCCAAAAAGGCTTGATAAGGCATTTAATTGCAAGATGTTGTGTTCTAGCAGGGTAAAATAGTAGCCTGGGAAACTGTTTTTTCTCCTAAACCTGGTTTTGCAGCCAAGATCGTTTGCGGTTGTGGGCAAATAATTTAGTTTAATCGTCACACAGGGCACCGACTCACCTCTTCATTCCTCTTATGTTCTTCTCCCATACTAAAATTTGTTTCTGTAACCCACGACTAGTGTAGCCCCTGACACGGAATCTTGCACCTAAGATTTAGTTGAGATTACAAACTTTGAATTTGAACTCATAGGCATGTGCACCTTCATTATACATGGTCAGAGGGTATGGTGTTCACAGCTCTACAAAAACTGACTAGGATTTCTGTTGCTATATGATCCTACTGAGCACAAATTCATAGTAGTAAGTGGTACAAGAAGGGTTAACATCTCCAAACAAGACACACGTTTAATATGATCAAGTTTCTATAAACAGGGCAGAATCCTGACCACTTGTAGCAAAGACAGCACAGGATACAGTGAGTGAAGATCCCCAAATTACACTCCTGGATTTGGTATGAACTGGGGGTATGCATCTGTGCAAGTCCTTTGCATCTCTGCCTCTTTTTACACAACTGGGATAACGATAGTCATCTTTTTGACATGCTTCCAGACCTATGGACGAAAAGCATTATTCAAGCGTTAGGTACATATTACTATTCTCCTAAACTGAGTCCCACTGTTTTATAAAATGGTTGACACATATGCCTGCCAAGACAATGCAAACCATCTCCTTTTCATACTCAGGAAAAAAACAGTGGAAATAATGTACAGCAAAAGAGTTGATTATCTGAACTTTCCTTCCAGCTTACACTTTTAAACTATTTTGAAGGAGATGGCTGTCCTTACCTTGAACACTCAAATCACTCTATTTCACTAAGCCTCAAAATACACTAAAGCAGTCAATTTAACACAGCTAACTAGAATAGATTCTAGTGCATCATTCTAATTTGACAGTTAAGTTAGGTAAGAAGCTTCACAATTAAGAAAAGAATATATACGCAAACCATCTTATTACATGTTTTAGAGCAAATATTTTAGGCAGTGTGGTTACAAAGCAGAATACAGTGTTTGGAAAGCGGTGGAAAAAGACTAGGACAGGTATAAGGTATTGCCCACATTTTCCCACTTGAGTACATAACCTCCTATATGTAAACACCTTTTGAAGTCTCTTGTTTTAAGAAGTGTTTAAAGTTTGAACACAAAAAGTACTGAGGATGTGTGGACCTCTGCTGATTTACAACACTGAAGAAAAAACAAGTTTGAGCTGAAAAAACTGAAAGACAAATAAAGAAATGCAGCTTAGAGAATAAATAGAAAGCAATAGGTACGAAGAGAGCAAGCAAGCATACTGTTAAAACCAAACCAAAACAAACGACAAAAAAAGAACATTGCCCAAGTTAAATTAGCCTTGAAAACTTCAAATTCTGCAAAAATAACTTTCCTTGAAATAAGCTTTAATGACGAAGATTGTCACAGAGTTGATTTTAAAAAGTAACAAAATCCTTTAGATAAATACAGTTTTCCTTCAATGATCTGCAGATCACAGTATTTTTAACTCACTTAACAACCTGAAGCTTGCTAATAAATGAAGCTGAAGAAGTGAAAAACCTTCACACAGGAGAAGAGTTACACAGAACAAAAGGGTGAACAATGTGCTACATTCTAAAACTCTTTGTTGAGAAGGCTAAGGTGATTAACAACACCACAAGGAAAACCTGATTACATCCAGCTTTTGATAAACAAGGGAGAAATCAGACAAAATTTGCTAGGTTTCAGTGAAGTGTGTCATGTTTGAAGAGCACTTTAAAACATTCAGCTTTAAGCTAGAAGTATTAACATGAGAATGAGTCCTTTTACATACTTAAAGTGGCTACCACTTTCTGAACAACAAACTCATGTTATGCACCAACTCATTTTTCATCCATGGATTTCAACAGCCAGAGACTCCATTATAAAGAAAGAGGTTAAAACTTGTACAGGAAGTCAACAGTGATACGAAATAACAAATATTTGGACTGATGTTCAAGTTTGGCTCCATAACGTGTGACTTTTCAAGATAGCAGAAAAGATGAAGCTCAATCTCTTTTTCTTTTTGTTTTTGACATCACCACAACAAAAAGAAAATAGGGAAATGGCTCAAAATTTCCTATTTGCCATGTCTGGATTCAATTCATCTAACTAATAGAACAACACAAAACTTAAGATACAAATCTGCCTTCAGTGCTAGCAACACACAATAAAAGACTGCATGTAGCTACTTGAATTGATAACTAAGCCATAGTGCCTTGATAGAGGAGGTTTTCCATGGGTCTTTTGATAAAAAGTAGATCCTGTATAAGGAAGTAATTCCTGAATTGTTACTACTTTTTTTTTTTTTTGATTGCCATTTCTAATTTAATCTCTAGTGAATTTGCAAACCAGTTACCCTCAATTAATTTTAAATGCCTATCTTGAGAAACACAGCTTTAAAAGCAAAAGCTATAAACCAACCTGGTTCCAAAACACTCATCATGAAAAACATAGGGAATAGCTTTGCTTCTTTTTACTTCAGTTTATTTTTTTGATGGGCACAAGCTGGTGAAAGGCATTTTGATGCAGAAGAACTTGGTCAGTTTTCAGCTGCTCATTAAAAAGCCGACTGGATTCTTGAACCAGCTACAGTGATTTTAGAGCCTTAGACTATTAGGATTCTCAGTTTAGACCTTTAAATATTGAACAAACAAAAATGAAGAGCACTCTGTTGTAGCTTGGTTTCAATGCTGGTTTCAACACATTTACTTTACTTGGAGAGTAAACATGCTCTGTTAGGTTCATCACTGTAGGTTCTTAACCACTGCATCTTTTCAGACTCTTATGTGCAAAGTTCAAACAAACAAAACCCCAAACCAAAAAAATCTTTGTATTTTGCTCATCGTTGAGCAATCAAAAGTTAGAAACATAACCCATTCTGTGCCAAGTCTGTGAGGTCAGGAATGGAAACAGCCTCCCAGTGAAAGATTGTCTTCAAAGTCATGCCAGGAGAGGAGGGGTAATGGAGGAAGATTTAGTTTCACGTGTGTGACTGCTCACATTGGGAAGAGACAGCCAGACAGATTCACTGCTAGTATGTAGCAAAGCCAGAAGAAACAAGAATGGGAATTACACCAAGCAGTTTTACTGACACAAGCGCTGATGTCTTCAGCGTTGCAGGAGTGGAGGTGATTTTCCCTTGTTTTCCGTATTGTCATCAGTCATTGCAGCCTCACAACTCGGTTCCCTGATGTCGCATGTAATGCAGCCCTTTAAAAAGGAATAAGAACATAGTAATTTAAATTCTCCTTTTTATGAGTATATTTCAGAGAGTCAAATCCTGATAGCATGATGTGTTGCAATCTCTTGAAACCTCTCACCAATGGGCTGAAATCTCTCTAAAAGCAGAGATTATACAGATATTTTCAGAAGCAGGTACTTGCACCTCCAACTTATCTTGTCTCAGAAATGAATTCTTTGGTCAGTGGAAAATACAGTTTTAGCTTTGAGATAAAAAGGCATGTGACTTCCTTGAATTTGAAGACCTATCTTTCAGCTTTATAAGCAAGCTGCTGATTAAGGATTTGGACTTCAGACTGAACAGCAACCATACCAACCAACAAAACAAGGATGAAATACCCGAGAGTATCAACAGACCAGATTTTTCTTGTGCTTGAGAAATGGTACAATATTGAAATAAAGTATTAAAACAGAAATCCTGCATTTCTGTCCACCTTCAGAAGCTTGGTTGCATTCACAAAATGACAATCTATATTGGAAACAACCTACTGCTTAGGAACAGTTTTAGCACCTTAGATATCAAAATATTTATATTTGCATACCAATACATCTCATAACATTTGAGATGTAAACATTCAACAGAATTTTCTGCAAGACCACTGGACATCATTTTGCTACCTGAATCAAACACATGGTCCTAACCACAACAGGACACACAAGATGTTTATCTATGAGCTATTAGGAAAACAAAGACTGATTTTCTCATCTTGTTCCAGAGCCAAGGACATAGATTTCTCAATTTTTCTGCTCTAAGAATAAATACCACAGCTCACAATACCACATTTGAAAATCCTAGCACACAGAGCATGCAGTGCTGCAACAGACGTTAGATTTTTCTGCTGCATGAGTACATGAATGCAGCCCACGCTGCCTTAAAATTTTCTGTACAACTCATCATTGGAATGCCAGATCTTTGGGGGACTAGTGCTGCCTTACTCTTTTCTTCTTCATAGCACCCAGGAGCATGTTAAACTGATTAGGACATTCTCTAACATATACTAATATAAATCAGAAGTAGTTTATCAGAGTGCCCAAGAGTTATACCAGATAAAATAATCAGGCATAAGACACTATAATTCTTAAAGAATTAATCCACCTGCAAAAAGCCAGCTATTTTTGTGTTTCTTACTATATGCCTGAACCTCCTCTGTGATTACGAGCATTTTTCAGTTTGCTGAACACAATTACTCTAATCTTCACTAACGGTCCAGTGTTACAAGCTATTCAATCATAGCAACAATCAACTTCATAAGAAAGAGAGCAAAAGAGCTAACACTACGAGAAAAAACATTACTAGATACGGACTCTTATGTGAGAGCATGACACTATTTCCGTTCACCCAACAGTGTGGCTGAAGAAACTTTGCTACAGGTGGTTCCTACACAGAATTTGCACATCTTGCAAAAAAATACAATGGAAATACCTGTATTTTGGCATTTCTCATCTGGCTAGCGTACTCTAGCTCATTTCCTCCTTCTGTTTACAAGCAATAACTATCAGTGACCCCAGCACTATAAGATTGCATTGGTTAGAAATGGCACTGCCTCTGGCTAGCCAAGGCATGAATAAGCTGCTACTTATTCTTTTCATGACTCCTTACCTGCGTGCTGATTTGCAGTGGGACAGTCTGCGTCCGGATCCACGTATGCACCTCTGCAAGCTCCTTCTTTTGCCCATCTGTAAACCGAGGCTGCTTCTTTCGCATGACTGTCAGTTTCTCCAGATCCTCCTTTAAAACTTCCTCTTTAATTCTGCAGAAAACAGATACCTGTGAATACAGCCGTACTAAATGAAGCAAGGCAGGCACTGATTGTAATCACACTGGGAGAGTCTCTTCACCAGTATCTACGGCTGAAGTCTAGGCAGCATCAGCCGCTGAAAAGTAACTATACTTTGCTATGCCTGATTTGCTTTGTAAGGCTTCTTTCAATACTGGCCTAACCATCAGGGGTTTTTTGGTTGTTGTTTGTGTTGGGTTTTTTTTTTGGTGTTTGGTGTATAATTTTTTTTTAATGTGGAATCTCATTACAAATTATACATAAGCTAATTGCAAGCAACTTGCAAATAACACATAAGCATTTTTACCCCTTTATGCATTTAAAGCACAGGACAATTATCAATCCCCTTAACACGTCAGCAAAAAAGGTTACATGGCACTGTATTTTAACTGATAGGAAAAGTGAGGAAAAAATAGACAAAAGGAAATAACTAGGGCTTAAAACGCACAAACAGTAAATCAATACACCTTCTTGGAGTTTCATTGGTATGTGCACTGTTTCCATGGTCTCATTTTTAATTCTACAGTTCTATACACAATTCCAAACTATATGTCAGAAATTGTTGATGTTTTCCAACCTGTTTGGCACTTGGTAAGTCATTAGAACTTGTTCAGGTGTGTGATCCATCATCATCCAGGCTGACTCATGTTGGGATTTATGAGCTGTCCCTTTTTCTTCTGCTTCCTGACTCTTTTCTTCTTTGGAAGCTTCAGAAGAATCATTACTGGCAAAATACTTGCTACTTTTCCCACTACCTGCTGAGAATTACCATGAAAAAAAGAATGTAGATGCCTCAGAAATCCTAGTAATTCAGCACAAAAAGTAAGAGAACACCAGTGTATTCTTGCTAGCTAATTCTGCAATACAAACATGGGTACTCCCAGATTACTAGGAGTAATTAGCAAGTGATTACTACCTATTGAGAATTCAAAGATATAGTGCATTCTGTTAAGCTACTCCAGGTCTCCAAAGCTCTATCTACTCTTCTCAAAATTTCCTGGCTCAATTTCTCTGCTTCTGTTTCAAGAAGTCCTGCTCTAGGCAGATTTACCCTTACTCAAATAACCTGTAAGCCCCTATCTAATGCAGAGTAAAGTGATAATAAGCAAAATGAAAGAGTGACTTACAGGTTAAAGGAACAGCTGCTTAGAATCCCATTTCCAACTACAGTGACTGAAACAAACTTGGCTTCAAATACTGCAAGTTGGTGAAAAGACTACAGATCCTCTGTAATAAGATCTCCCATTCCCATTACAGTATCTTGTTATAAATTACCAACATGTTAGCAAGCCATCTAGCACAAAAGCACCAAACATCCAAATCTCAAACTTCCCTACCTGTGCCACAACCAGAAGTCTCATTGGAGCCAGAGCCTAAAGAACCAGATAAAGCTGATCCACTGCCTGATGCTGCTGAAACGTACAGTGAGCGGTCAGTAAATTCACCAGAAGCACAACGGCTAGCTCTGTTACCACTATCTTCTGGATCATTGTCCTGGAAAGAAAAATCAAAACAAACACATCCATGGAAGTTACATTTACGTTTTAAAAAGGAAGGTTGTGCATTTACTGAATCTGTCACATATTGACTAAGTTCTCATATCAACTCAACAAGTTTGGAGTTTCTAGCTCTGAAAATGAATGGTGGTCTAGAACTTGGGATAACACTCTTCATGGGTGAAAGCAACAAGCATCTGGACTCTAGTTTACTGGTTTCCGCTGTAGATCCTTCCCCACTGGGCCAAGATATTGTACTGTTGCATTAAGTTAATATTTTCTGCTGACAAGAGAGCAGGAGTCATCCTGTTAGATGGCATGAAGCAGCCACGCATATCAAGCAATGGTGCACTACAGGGAAAATGAGAGTCTTCCCCAATTCATTATGTGAAGCTCACCGCTTCAGCGGCTACAGGTACACCAACTCCCCTTTCAGGACCCTACCCTGCAGTTTCAGCTGATCCAGCCTTTCCAGCCCAATCTGGATTCAGGAGCCAAAATTTTTTTCCTTGCCTGCAGAGCTCAGATTCCTGCCTCTGAGTTTACCGCGGAAGTTGGAGAGGCCTTTTCTATGCCCATGTATGGAAACCGACCCACACGGATCCCTGTTCTTCGTTCATTAGCTGCATCCCTGGGAGACAGAGGGAGTAATTAGAAGCGTATCTTCCCTTCGTTTTGGTTCTCCACAGAGACTGTGGGACCAGGTGAAAAAGGATGCGAATTGTGCAGCACTAACCAAGTTCCACATGCATAAAAGCCCCAAACCCAAAATTCCTGCCAGCAATTTAATTGAAAAGGCTGCTGCCACCATGCTGAGCAAAAGCGACTTGTGGCAGGCTAGACCAGGAGATCTCACATTTCTGTCATTTGCTAAGTGCCAACGCTGTACTGTTACATGGGTGCAAGTATAAACAGCTTTCTCCGCCTCCTGTGCTATTTGTGCCCTGCAGTCTACATAGCACAGCCACTGGAAAAAGCAGCTAACAAAACCTGGTGACCCTGAAAAACAGATCATCATCACTGGTTCTGGTGACTGAACACCGTGAAAGTCAGTTTCTCCTCTACATTAAAAATTTGTGCTACTTACACATTTAGCTTCTGCACGTGCTTTAACATCAGTACTAATGGAAAGCTCCATAGATTTTGGCAGCTCTTCTTGAAGCAAATTCAGCTGAAGCGGTGAGCTGCTCCGTGAGCTACTCAGCAGTAGGGCCTGGTCGTGCTGGCCCTCTTGCTGGTCCTCCATGGATGTGGCAGAAGGGGCTGGAAAGGGCGGATCCACAGAGTGTGGTGCTATTGGTGATGGAGCAGGAGGAGGGGCTGGAGGTAGCGTAGTGCATGGATATGAAGAGGGGGGATAAACATATTGAGGGCTAGGAAGAAAGACATATTGAGGCATTTGAGCATACATGGGGAAACTCTGAAAAAATACAGCCATAAACGTGCCTATGTTTGGGGGATAAAGTGCTGGGCATGACTGTGCTTCACAGCATAGTTGTGATGACGACATGGACTCAGGTTTAAATGAGTTAAGGGCAAGCTCCTCTCCTACAGAAGAGGCTGGAAAACTAGATAGTGGATCCGAATAGACAGGAAATCCCATAGGAGGAAGGACATTCATACTGGAGGAGCTCAGATAGGACACTTCTGAGGGAGAGAATGACCGTTTCTGATTTGTTCTCTTCTCACATGGAAGACTATTTCTATTTTTACTAGAAGAGCGGCTATCCGAGGACTGTCTCTGAGGTTTCTGGCGCTTGAATTTTCCATGTTTGCCTTTTTTACAGGTAGCTGGGCTCATTTGCTTTGAAGGGGAATCTCCTAAGGAGGAAGAAAAATAGACACATTCACTGAAATGACCAACCTAGAGGAGGGGAAAAAAAAAAAGAAAGAAAGAAAAAGAAAAAACCAAACACCAAAAAAGAGAAAAACATCCAGATAATTGACTGTGGCTTATTCGGAGAGCTGTCTTTCCTCTTGATAATTCTTCCATACACTACAGTGATAGACTTGCTGACGTATCTACAATATTTTCCTTCATGTCATCAATTTTCTTATCGATCATTTTGGCTTATCCCAATCAGACCTTTTACTTTCCTTCAAGGGGAGGAAATAAACTACTTGGGATTTGCAGGGTTTATTGCAGTAATTACCCACTTTGTGAAAAGTCTGAGATAGCAACAACCAAGACAGAGCAGACTTTCTGTGTGGGCAATGCTGTGGTCAAGCCTTGGCAGTTTGAAGGAAGTATTCTGTGTGCAGCTATTGTAAGACACTTGCTAAATCATACAAAGGAGAACAAGACTCCAATGCTAGGTTGGGAGGTTAGAACTAGATGATCTTTGAGGTCCCTTCCAACCCAAACCATTCTATGATTCTATCTAATAAGTCTTTATTTCTCAAATCTGCTGCCTACCTTGGCCACAGGAATGTCCATTGTTACTTCTGCTCCCCTGTTGAAGGTAAGTCCTAAACGGAGAGAGCAAGATCCTCTGGCGGAACTTGTCAACGTAGTTCTGCTCCTCCTTTTGAGTGTGGGCTGACAACGTCTCTTTTGTTAGCCCAATTGGCTTTAGGTCCTCAGGTACCATAGTGAGACTCTGAGCATTCACAGGAGGCAGCTCAATTTGTTCACTTCCAACAGGAGTGTCCTCCATTGTAGTCACTTCTTCAAAGAGGGAAGAAAATAAATCACTCTTTGCTCTGGTGTCAACTCCCACAACACCCAGAGGGTTACACAGAAAACAATCTCGTCTGAGCTACCGAGCAGATACAGGCTGCAAAGGCGGGGGGAGAAAACACCCTTACACTCAAATATAGTTACACTAACATCAACTGAGCAAATTGCATGGTCTGGAAAACATTTAATTCACTTTGAAGTTACAGAGGCACTTCTTTCTTCATACTTTCTTAGAACAATAGCAGTTAAATACTCATTTTTATGCTTCTTTCTGCATTAAAATGAAATAACACTCTCCCATTAAAATTTCCAGGCTCAAGTTTTCTTCACAGTTTCCCTAGAAGTACCTTAATTATATGTCAGAGTACATACTCATGAGAACGTATCTCAAATGGACAAAACTTTCTGTATACTTCAGTCTGGAAACATTGTGTAAATTTAAAAATCAGTGAGTCAAATTAGTACCTGATTCAGGGTGTGGGACATGCACTATAGTGCTGCTGTAACTGCACTGGCTGGTGACAGACACCACACTCGGAGCCTTGTTGGACAGGGTCAGGTCTGTCAGAGGAGCTCCCACCATGCCTGCAGTTGTCTGGTCTTTCAGTGTCTCTCCCCGATCAGCAGATGTTGGAGTGTGGGAATTAACTGCTGAAAGCATAGGAGTATCCATTGATAAATGACAAAGTTTCTACATGGAATTTCAGTCCAAGCACTATGCTCCCAGTCTATCAAGTCTGACTGTTTCAGAAACAACCAGTAACTATGCAGACTATTAAACGAGATAGCCTTATATACAAATAAATATAACATTCATATGCCAGTGCAATGTCAGCACATACTAAACATGGCATAAAATAAGTGAGCAACAGAAGGTTCATTTAGTAACAACGCAGCCCTTAGGAGAAGGACTTGGGGGTATTGATTGATGAAAAGCTCAACATGAGCCGGCAGTGTGCGCTCGTGGCCCAGAAAGCCAACTGTGTCCTGGGCTGCGTCAAAAGAAGTGTGACCACCAGGTCAAGGGAGGTGATTCTGCCCCTCTACTCCGCTCTGGTGAGACCCTCCTGCAGTACTGCATCCAGCTCTGGGGGCCCCAGTACAAGAAAGACATCGAGCTGTTGGAGCGAGTCCAGAGGAGGCCACGAAGCTGACCAAGAGGGCTGGAGCACCTCTCCTGTGAGGACAGGCTGAGAGAGTTGGGATTGTTCAGCCTGGAGAAAAGGTGGCTCTGGGGAGATCTCATTGCGGCTTACCAGTACCTGAAGGGGCCTACAGGAAAGATGGGGAGGGACTGTTTATCAGGGAGTGTAGTGACAGGACAAGGGGTAATGGGTTTAAGCTAAAAGAGGGTCGATTTAGATTGGATGAGTAGAAAGAAATTGTTTACTGTGAGGGTGGTGAGGCACTGGCACAGGCTGCCCAGAGAGGTTGTGGAGGCCCCATTCCTGGAAGTGTTTAAGGCCAGGTTGGATGAGGCTTTGGGCAACGTGATCTAGTGGAGGGTGTCCCTGCCGGTAGCAGGGGGGGTTGGAACTAGATGATCTTTGAGGTCCCTTCCAACCCAAACCATTCTATGATTCTATGAACAAACAATAGTTCTTTTGATGCATTCTACATTCAAAGGCTGAATATTGTAGCTTATGCTTAACTGTGAGATCTAGACAAGGTAGGCAAATATTTACCACATAACCAAAACATTTGTGCTGTTACTGTGACAACAATTTAAAAAGTGGACATAAACCTTGGAACATACAACAGTGGCATAGAAAAAATAAAGCAGTTGTGGTTCTATTATGATTGTCAGTATACATTGTGTTACCTTCCAAAGCCTCAACTTCCTGCTGCCTTTGCTGGACTTGCTTGTCATCTTCTGAAGATGAGGATGATGATGTATTTGCAGAAGATTTACATTTCCTTTTCAATGCTGGAATACTGCAGCTCTCTAGATATCTGAAATAAAAGCATGTCACAGGAAGCTCTCCCTACTTTGCATTTTTTTCTCCATTTGGAGAAACAAACATATGAACAATCCAAACTGGAGATCCAGGGGTTGTTAACTAGTATTTTAAATTCACTGCATGAAGCTCTGGACACGTATCTGCTTTCCAAGGAGTATTTTAAATAAAATCCATCAATTACTCTTAAAAAAAAAAAAAGAAGGAAGAAAAAAGAAAAAAAGACGATGTTATCCACTAGCTTAAAAAATACTGACATTTTATAATTTATATCAACTTTCTGTTTTATATAGATGTTCTCAAAGTGTGTATTGAGAAGACACTGATACATTCTGCCCATCCAAATTCTCTTAAACTCTTACTGCACCAACGGTGAAACTACCAGCAGACAAACATCAACAGCTGCAAACCGACTCTTAGGCCCTAAATTCTTCATTACTATGTAATTCAGATTGAGTGAGCATTGGGATGGATTGCTCAGAGACAGAAAACTTTACAAACCATCTCAAATTTATCTCACAACTCAAAACCCAGACAGTTTAGACCAATGCAACTGCTTGGATATTTATCTTCCACCAATTAATCTTAAACTTGTATCACTAAAATCGCGTCATAGTTTATTACCTGATGATACTATCAACACAATTGATCTGCTGATAGGAAGGAACACGTGGTGTCTTCTTTGATTCATCATAAAATGCATTGCCTAGTTCTTCTGTGCTATCACTTCTCAGTGTCTGAAGAAAACAGGAAGCAGTGTGCCTCTTCCCTAGAACAGAAGAAATCCTCATAGACTCCTCTCAGAGGCATCTGAACACTAACCCCACAAAGACACACACATATATACACACTTGGATACATATATATTATACAGGGATATATGGCCTATGACAGCACAGATCTCATTACGAAGTTATTTTGCACTTTCATCTCAATTGACGTGTTTTGAGACAGGGGAGGGAGAAGGAGAAAGAACGCCTCAGAACAAAAAACCAAAACCCACACACCACCTTAAACATCCACTCAGAACAACTAGTAAACACAAAAAAAACAGCATAGGAAAAAATATCGTATTTAAATTGTAAACAAAGCTGCAATTAATATTACTCTTCTCTCAATTTATAGGTCACAGAATCCAATCTCTTATTTAACAGTAATTTAGAGCTTTTTATAGCATAGATACACTGGTCAGAGTAGTATCAACATTCACATTACAGTCACCTTATGTCGTGGTTTTACCCCAGCCGGCAGCTGAGTACCACGCAGCCGCTCGTTCACTCCCCCCCATCGGGACAGGGGAGAGAATTGGAAGAGTTAAAGTGAGAAAACTCGTGGGTTGAGATAAAGACAGTTTAATAGGTAAAGCAAAAGCCGCGTGCACAAGCAAAGCAAAGCAAGGAATTCATTCACCACTTCCCATGGGCAGGCAGGTGTTCAGCCATCTCCAGGAAAGCAGGGCTCCGTCACGCGTAACGGTTACTTGGGAAGACAAACGCCATTGCTCCGAACGCCGCCGCCCCCCCTCTCTCTTCCCCCAAGCTCCTTATAAACTGAGCATGACGTCATATAGTATGGAATACCCCTTTGGTCAGTTTGGGTCACCTGTCCTGTCTGTGTCTCCTCCCAACTTCTTGTGCACCCCCAGCCATCCTGCTGGCAGGGCAGCGCAAGAAGCAGAAAAGGCCTTGGCCCCGTGTAAACACTGCTCAACAATAGATCCATAGAACAAAAACATCTCTATATTATCAATGCTGTCTCCAGCACAAATCCAAAACGTATCCTCACACTAGCTACTATGAAGAAAAATCAATCCTCTCAGCTGAAACCAGGACACCTTATTAACACAACTAGGTGTTAATTTAAAACTTTTGTCAAGAGTATCACACTGCCAAACGTTTTAGTACAGATTCCTAAGATATTTGAGGAAGCATCTGGTTTTCTCCATATATTTGCGCTAGGTACTAACTGCAAATAACATGCATTAGCATAATATTAAGCACTCAGTAACTAAACCACTACTTCAGTGGGAAGCGGGTAGTGTTTTCCAACCTACTGATTGTTTCTGAGAGTCCATGTAAAGTAACTAAGGGAAGCTTCCATAGTAGACTGATACTTGCTACAAGCAAGCCTGCATTTTCACTAGAAGATATTAAAATAAAAATTTAAAAAAAAAAAAAAAAAAGTTAAAAGTCTATTAATCTAAAAAGAGACAGCTATGTTTCTCCATCTCTCAGGGAGCAGTTAAAAAGTTATTGCATCTGCTGAGGGTTTTTCTGGGGGCAAGTTTTGGAGGTTTTTTTGTTTGGTTGAGTTTTGATTGTTTAAAAAAAACAAACCCAAAACAACACAACCCCACCCCCCACTTACCACATTTAAACCATGCTAAAATGCTACCTTAAGTTCTTCAGCATAGTACCAGCTAGCCAAGCTCACGGCTATGGATCTATAGGAATTCACGTTACCTTAAGGATCATAATTACACTAACTTACCTCCTAGCATTTCTGAGCTCACAGCTTGTTCGTTTCCATTTTGTGGCTTTCTCCTTGACGCAATATACAGCTGCTGTCCCAGATTCTTTATTCGGTTGACATCTGCACAAACTTGTTGCAATGTCATCTTCAGATACGTGAAAATGTAAAGTCAGAATAAAATTAATAAAGAGAGGGCACAGCAGACCATTAAGATGGACTTGGGTTCTTGTATTCTCCAAACCAGAAGGGAGTAGACTGTCAGCCTAAGCCTGGTATCTATTGCTATTTGTGAATTTAATGAATCTAATTATCATGGTTAATTTAATTAACTATGATAAAGCTCAAACAGCCTCAGCATTTGAATGTTTTAATACTGATGCCAGTCTTGAGAGTGGGAATAAGCTGATGACTTACCAAGGAGCCTCACAAGGAAACTAGGTAATTGCAATGCTTGTTTTGGGACAGCACTGTTTCCACTCTCTTCTATAGCAGCCTACACTGTACCTCTACTGCCCTTTTTAAAACAGAACAGAAAATCCCAAGCAAACAGAAACGCTTCCACACGCGTCAATCCTCTTTCTGGTTGCATGGTTCCTTCAATTTTTCTCCGAGTCCACTGGTTCTTTGAGGAGGTTGATCTTACACAAGTCTTCAATTTACTTTAGTGAACTACTGTAGTAGTTATCTGTTCATTTTAGTCAGCAAAAATAAGAGCGAAAACCAAAAGCCAGCATTCTATAGTTGACCAATGTAAGTGCATTTGCTGTGAACAGAGCTGTATCTTCCCACTTCAGTGAAATTCATTATAAGTAGTGCATATGTTCACAGTAAAAATTTTCATTTTTAAAACTTTATTTTTACTACTCTGCAGACAACACCACATTTATAGACTTACTGGTTCCTGTGTTTCCTCTGCACAATTCCCATTGGAGTCACTTGAAGACGCTATGCTGATGTAGTGCTCGTAAGAGCCACTGCTTCCAAGGCTTCCATAACCACTGGAAACATTGCTGTGAACTGGCTGCATGAGGGGGAAAAGTTGAAATTAAAAAATAATCCTCTTAGAGAACAACAAACTTGGCAATACAGAACTTCAAGTAAACAAAGTATATTAAGTGAAAAGTCGGTATTGCTCTGGGCTCTACCACTTGACTGGGAAAAACTCCCTACCATGCTTAAAGCTGTTTCAGGATGCAGATTTATCTTTCAATATAAAGACTTGGCAAATACGTCAAAATATTATTTTTTTTTCAACCAGGTGGGGTACCCCAGAGCCCTAATTTTAAGGCTGTCACACAAGCCTACTTCAATTTAGAACTTCCTTTCAAACCTTTTAAAAGATCATCCTCAAAGTACTCTGCTAAACAGACCCAAGTTTCTTTAGCCTCTCATTCAAAAGGCCAGCCAACATTTTGAAATTCGTTCATCTTCTTTACCTGCAGCAGCAGCTTGTAAATTTGTCCTTGCAATTCTCTTATCTCTTTCTCAACATTGCTTGGTTCTTTATTTCTTGCAGCAAAGACATCTTCATTCAGAGGGCTTCTGGAGACAGCCAACAAAATTTCACTTTTACTTTTAATTTGATGAAGAAACGGTAGCTAAAAACCAGAGCTAGAACAGATTCTTTTTTTAATCATCCTTATTTTATTTTGACTGCTTCTCTGAATCAACACAAAGGGATGTCATCTGTTCCGCTAGCAGCTCAGCTAGGGTAGTGGGGCAGTGCTGGGAGAGCAGTGCTTCATGTGAAGCCCCCAGGGAAGTCAGTACACCAGCAGAGCGACATGAGTTAAGGTTGACAAGCATCTGCCCCTCTGCCTCCCTTCACTCAGAAGACAAATTCACACCCCATAAAATCTTGAATAAAAGATCACTTTGAAAAGTCAAAAGGCCAGCCCAAAAAACCATTTCCTGGAAAAGAAACCAGATGAGAGGAAGGCAGACAGTCATATTTCCAAATCTCTTGGAAACTAAGGAAACATGGGAAAAATTAACTTGCACATTCAATACTAACTCAATTTTTTAAAGAAGTTACCTTGGTAAATATTTAGATTCTGTATCAAGTGAATGTTCCACAAGAAAACAAACTAGAAGGTGATTTTGGCTACAGGTCTGTCAATTAATTTTTTTTTTTTTTTTTTGTGAAGCAATCGGGAATGAATGTCAACTAATTATTTAAGTGACCTACTTTTTACATTCCTTTTTACCTTTTACTTGGCTTGTCTAAAACTAGTACGTCCATTGTCACATTATTCGGACATCAACCATATACAAAAACATAAGCTAAAAAAGAAGTTGGCTTTGCCTTTTACTTCAAAGTAATTGACTTATTTTCACACTTAATAAACAAGACTAATGCTGTTCTGAAGAAATGGGCTGCAAGATGCTAGGTAGTTGTCACAGACTGCAGGAGCAACATTATGTCTCTAGTTCAGTACTGAGACTGTTTTGTTTTGAAGAGTATTCAATGAAAAACACTTTTAACAGATCAATTTGACAACTGACTTACGTCCGGACTTTGTGTCGGCCAATGATGAACGCTACTTTCCTGCTCCATGGATTCACAAAACTGGACCAGCTGGTATCCAGTATGACATAATCCCCATTTTGAGTACAAAATCTAATAGGTAAATGTTCAAAAGGAGGTTGGCCAGCAAATTTCAGGACTGAAACAAAAACAGTCAAGAAACAAGGTTTAGCTTACAGTATGACACAGCAGTGCAAGCACAACACTAATGCCTGGGGTCTGCGGTGGAGTGACCTTTCCTGGATCCCAGGTGCCCACCAAGCTGCGCTATCACTCCCCTCCCTCAGCAGGACAGGCAAAGGAGAAAAATAAAATGGAAAAACACTTGTGGGTCAAGTTAAAGGCAGTTAAATAAAGCAAAAGGCCACATGCAGAAGCAAAGGAAAAACAAAAGATTTATTCTCTACTTCCCATCAGCAGGCGATGCCTGGCTGCTTCCTGGGAAGCAGGGCTTCAGTACACGTAGCAGTTGCTCCGAAAGACAAACGTAAATAACGAACGGTCCCCCTCCTCTCCACCTTTCTCTTTGCTTTTATTGCTGAGCAGATGTCATATGGTATGGAATATCCTTTTGGTCAGTTTGGGCCAGTTGTCCTGGCTGTCACTCCTCCCAAGATCTTGCCCACCCCCAGCCTCCAGGTGTGTAGGTGTGGGGAATGTTGGAGAGACAGCCTCGATGCTATGCCAGCACTGCTCAGTAGTAGCCAAAACACTGGTGTGTTATCACCACCTTGCTAGATGGCACAGCACCTATCAGGGCTGCTCTGGGGAAAATTAACTCCACCTCAGCCAGACCTAATACAGAGCCCTTTGAAACTCTAGGTTTGAATTTGCTTTAATCTCAAACTGGTTGCTTTAATTCATTAATTCATTTCTTTTTGTCTAGACTGCAGATCAGTCACATGTCAAACAATATCATAATGAAAGAATGTTAAAACCAGTAGAAATTCCTCTTTAAAGCAACTATGCTTACTTTTCCGGTGAATAGCAATCATCAAAGGACGATCTTCTGGGTGCAAATACATCAGTATGGATGTACCAATTAGATCTTGAGGTAAGTAACCCAATAAAGGCACTGCTCTGAAACATGGAACACATTATCACTGATTATAATATAGTTTTGAGTATTTAAATCTTTAACCCTTTGTTTGTCAGTGAAGCCCCCATGCACAATCTACAATGGCATGAACTAAGGCTACAGAACATTTCCCAGCCCATCTAATAATCCTCCAGTGCAATGCAGACATGCAAATACCAATGACTAACACTTCTGCACCTGGAGATCTAATAGATTTTCACATTTGCAGACAGTTTTGTGCTTCTCTATATGCAAAGTAAAAAAAAAAAAAAAAAAAAAAAAAAGAAGAGGGTCATGAAGAAACAGGTCACAGACAAAACATCAGTAAGAAATCTGACATGGATGCTGCAAAGTGTGTTGTAAAAACACTCTTGTGGCTTTGCAGGAGACAGCTTTAGTCTGGCCAAACTTATTTGACTCGGCTCAGTACAGCTGCATCTCCACACTGTGATCCCCAGAGCTTTGCATTATGCGGGTTTTCCACTGTCTGTCCCCATGCCCTGAATAACTGACTGCAGTTCTGTTTAATTCACATTTTAAGTCAACAAAGGAAATTACATCTGTGGAGTTCTAGATGTTTTTCAATGAGCAGACTAACACAAAACTACTTTGCTTAATTAACAATTTCCAACTGCACAGTTCAACTACTTTACTTGGGTCTCCAGCTGCATCACCAAAGGATTTATTGCTACCTCTCCATACACACCTCACAGGTCTTAAGATTCAAATCTCACCTGTCATCTATCTCAAGAAAAACACATCCAGGCGTGTGAGTGGTGGTGAAGATTCTTTTATCCATAGGAATTCGAGGAGCTAATAGATAAAGAAATATTCACTGAAACAAAATATGCACTGAGACAGAAAACCTACCTGTTACTTTTGCTCATGACAGTTATTGGCTCCTGAACTTTTTAATTGTTCGCTGCTTTCTGACCAGTAACTCATAGAAACATTACAAGTTTTTAGGTGCTACAGACCTCTCTCAAAACTAAAAATAATGAGATGATGTCAAATGCTTCAGGGCCTTGCAAAGAAGGCACAGATGCTCTGGATTTGCATGCATACACACACACGCAAACTGGAAGGTATATGGGTAAGACTGCCAAAGTACAAGTTCTAAACAAAGGAGGCAGACTTTCATATACTGTATTTTCCTATTGGCTTTTTTTTTTTTACAGGAGTCTCCTGACTTGCCTTCGTATCCAGAGTGAATTTTCTCAGCCAAAGCTAAGCAGCAGGATTCTGCATCCACATGGACTGAAGTACACACATGGACCAAGTACGGGGTGATTCGGAAGGGGTAACAACGCGTTTCTTGTTCTTGATCTTTACCAGCCCTGAGGAAAAGTGAAAGGGATTAATGCACTGGTTTCAAGATTCCGATACTTTTTTTTTATGCCAGGGCTGAGAGCCCTGCACAGAGAAGTTTATCTGGGTTTGTGTGCTCAGCATATCAGAATCTTCTGAGGTCCTACACACGCTCCCTTGTGATCCAAGGCCAACAGATTCAGCAATACTGATCTTGCTCCCTTTAAAACCAAGTAGGTGTTTTGCCTCTAGTACTTCCATTCAGAGGCTGTTCTAGAAATGCTGTTACTCTAACGGTTAAAGACCACCTTCTAACTCTCTGACCAAATGTATTCATGAGAACCATCCATTTGATCCTGTGCTCTCCTTCAACTTAAACAGTTCTTTCTTTGTTGTTCATTCTGTACCATTTTTAGGGGGAAAAAAAATTCTGTCTCTCAAGTTTTGTTTCACTGACCTAAATAAGTAAGACTCCTCCAGGTTCGGTTCACAAATAGTTGTCATTCTTCGATTGTCCTCCTCCCATGAGGAGAACAATCTTCCTAGAACATGTGTGAGCAGTAGCAGCACACACCACTTGAGATGAGGTCTTAATTGGGGCTGACAACTGCATCAGTGATTGCCTGTTTCTATTGCAAGTGCTCTTTCACCTGTTATAATTGCAGTATCTTACCCAGCTCTGACAGAAAGAATTGAGATAAATTTTTGGACATTATCACTTACACTAAAAGTTATTTTCTTATTTGATGTTTAGTTTTGTAAAACGTTTCTAGAGAGAAGTTAGTGTCATAAAAACTACTACTGAGACCTCCCCCCTTTTGCAAAAAAAAAAAAAAAAAAAAAAGGCAAATGGATATAGGACATAAGCAGAAGTTTAAACCACAAAAAACATTTTCATACTTAAGTCTAGTTGTGTGCTTGTGAAAAAATATTTTTACTCATGAAGCCCACATAATCAAAAGGTTCTGTTCTATAAAGGAAGAAGAGATCTCATCTGAAATAATGTCAGCTTTTGCCTAGGTTTATTTTTGAAGAAAAACTAATGCAAAATGTTTATGTATCCTACAAACAGTTCCCTCAACTTAAAATTTATATTGGTCCTGTTGTATTTATTCCAAGTGCCCTTACACAATTCAAGAGACAAAGGGTTTTTGAAACATGGATGGATGAATCAATGATCGATTGAGCGATGGAATAATTATTATATCTGCTCAGAAGCAGAGTTCTTACTGAAATCAAGAGACCACCTGAGTCTGGAACAGAACTGCACTGAAGATTACAGGCCAATCTCCATTTTTTCCTCTCTTCTTTTAGCACTAAGATTAGCCAGGCACAAAGCAAAAAACTGCCTCCATAGTGACAGCAAATAGCATCTCATGATTCAGATGTCATACTGGGACTCAGGTGACTGAGTTTCTGTTACTGCCTTTGTCACAAACTCTGAAGTACTCTTAAGCAAAACACCCTTTGCCTCCACTCTCAAAATGTAAAAGGGGGAGCAGCAATTTTTCACAAGATTGCTCTTCTCCCACACAACAATACTGAAGGAAACCGAGAGGTTCAAAAGAAACATTATGAACAGTTTTCCTTCCACCCCATGCAAGTTTAAGCATCATTATGGGAAAGATATCCAAAATGTCCTGCTGGTTGCCAATATGAAACACAATAAGCCAATTTTGTCATGGAGTTCTATGAGCTCACACTGATCAACTGTAACAACAGAACATTCTTTCTGCTCAGTGCTGTACCCTTTGCTCAGCCTTCACAAACATATCACTATAACAATGTACTTGCCTGATCCTGCAGAAAAAGGACTTCACCTGGGCATATTCATATAGAGAAGCTAACAAGAACACACATTGAAAGTATCAGTTAGTTAATATCCTTAAAAAGGTCACACCTATCAGAACTATTTTAAACTTTGCATTCTCCAGACTTTGCAAGCAAGACTGAAGTCTCACAACCTGCTCTTTATTAGCTACTGAATTAGCTGTTCCAACAGTCTCCTCCCACCTCACATGTGGTGGGCTGACCTGGAACTAAATTCAGAGGAAACACATATGATCTAAAAAACTCCTTTCCCCAGTGCATCACTATGGAAAAGAAGGGTGAAAATTCCTGGCTTTATGAGCAGCCTCTGATGTCTCACATCCTTTGGCAGCAAGGATTTTGGACTTCCCAGCTCTGATGCCAAAACAGCCCCGTGGCTAGGTGAGCTACGTTCAGAGCAGGCTGCAGACCATACAAAGCACCTAAGCAACTGTGAGATGTAGATTAAACAACTTTAAACTCACAATTAGACCTTTAGTTTCTTTTTTAAAAGCAGCAGTATTTGAAATGAGTAAGATGGTACACAAAACAATGAAGTATCTGACTTTTACTCACCCCAAGTAAGACTTAAGCCTCTGGGAGACTAGCTAGGACTAGCTCCATAGCTCAAGTTTTTAAAGTGGAAAGGGAACAAGTGTGGCCTACATATCTTGCTAGAATAAGCATTTAAAATGAACAAATATTCTATCCTCATTCTGCAAAGACAGAAAGACACATAAAGCATTTAAGAGCATTGTCAAGTCCCACCTGTTTGACTTTCCATGTTCCAAAGTGGCAGGTGGGACTGATCAGTGTGTGTGTAGAACACACTCACATCCTGAGGGACAAGCAGCTCTACAAACCGAGAGGAGTCCAACACTTTCTTCTTACAGTTTAGAATGGATGCTGCCTGCTCAGAAATATGCACTATGCGTCCAGAAAGCAAGGAAAATACAGCCACAAATGTGTCCTGGAAAACAAAGGTTGTTAAAGGCAATCCTCCCCCAACACATGGTAACAATATTGTAAGGATAGAACACCAAAACAACAACAACCCCAAAACAAACAAACCGACCCAAAACCATCACACACCACACCCTATGACAAAGGTTCAAAAATGTGTTCTTAAGTTAGTGTCCAATTAAAGTGTGTGTGAGTTACTACAATCGCCAATGCTACTGTAGCTTATTCATGATTTAAAAATGCTAAGATGACTTCAGTATCAAAACTGAAACAGATTACAGTGATGCTTGCCATTGTCCAGAATGGCTGGTTGTCACTTCTCCCCAAATTTGAGAGTATTCACCACAATTCCACAAACAAAAATATTCTGAGAACTTTTCAAGTAGAAGGGATTTGCAATATTTCTTATATGGCATCTAACAGTACTGAATCTCAAGAAACACTCTTTTCTTTGAAGCCGAGCCAGAAAGCATGACACATACTGCAAATCAAGGAAAAAAAAAATTCCAGGAGTACAAATAGAAACCAAAATCCCTCACAACTATGGACTTGATCAGCTTTGAAAACATTCTGCTAAGTCTGTCTCAAGAGATGACTATGCTGTAAATCAATTCTCAAGTAAGATTCTCAGAGATACTTGTTGCTTCTGGGGGAAAAAAAAAAAAAAAAAGAAAAATAGGTATTTCTTCACTAATTGCTGTTGGGTACCCTGAGTCAGTATAGATAAGAAGTAGTCTTGATCTACCTTTAAAAACACAAAGACCTGTCTGGCTAAAACTTAAAGGCTTACACATTCTATTTCCAAAAAACAATGTAAGACGACTAAACAGAGGGTGAAACAGCAAGCGATGGACTCCTTGAGTGTGCCTGAATTCCTTACAGTGTTTTTTGGAGTGTGTTCAGATGCAACTGCCACCAACTCTTCTATGCTGTATGTCATCACATCTGTCTGAAACACTCTTCGGTCATTCAGAGCCTGGAAAAAGTCATTGTTTGCTAATTGAAAACAAAAAAAAAAAAAAAAAAAACAGGAAAAGCAAAACAAACACAAGGAAGTCAGTAAGGAGACTACTTTGAAAGTATTTCTTACAGCCCTTGTATTTTTGCCATCTTTTTGGTGAAGTCCAAGGTGAGATGAGGAAGGTCTGTGTAGTGACAAAGGAAAAAGGAATACTGATTATACCACTGGAGTGACCTATTTATGGTACAGAGAATGAGCATGAGGAAGTAGAAAGGACAGAACATGATGGCAAAAGAACAATTTTAGCTACTTAGTTCTGTTGGAAAGCACAGACTATCCAATAATTTTTCAAAGTGGGACGGGAATGCTTTTTTCCCAATATACACAGAAAGTTATTAGTAGGTACCTATTACTGATAGAATTGCAAAGAAAAGAGAAGCAGTAGGTGGCCATTTTAATAGAAAAGATAACATGATTATTTAAACAAAAAAACCCAACCCAACACAGTGCTTCAGAAAGTCAATTGTTTGCAGGATAACTGGAATGCTTTCATTTGTTTTAATGTTATTTGTTGTCAGACACATGTCTATTCAAATCAAGCTGCTGTAGAGCTTCTACGCTTCCAGATTTTTTCCACACATACCTTGGACCTGTTGGACACACTGCAAGGCATAGTTGAGAGCACTGATGGTACTGGGCTTGCTGGAACTCCTTTTCTCTTCAGGCAAACACCTTTTCATTTCTTGGATCATGATCATCAGATCTCTGTGAGACTGGCTCCCATTCAGCTGCTCACTGTAAAACAGATGTTAAACTTTACTGGAGAATTCTGGTATAGGACCTTTTCTGTCACCTAATTATTCACTAAATCAACATTTGATGGGCTTGGTCGCAGAGTTAAAGAATATCTGGAAATGTCCTAATGCTCATTCACTTATTTCCTGTTGTACCTTTCTCACTTCTTTGCTACTTACTCTTTTCTCCTCCACCTTCCTCCGTTCCAACTCCAACATGTCATGGATGGCAAAGTCACTTCACAATCAATCTACTTGCTAAGATGCTTAGCAACTAAAAATAAGCTGATGTTTAGATTTTCTAAATCTCAGTGGTATTAGAATCATGAATAGATGCTGATTCTTTATGTATAGAAGTCTTTCTAGCCTTGAAGTTTGCATTCAGGTTGGATGGGGCTTTGAGCAACCTGGTCTAGTGAAGGGTGTCCCTGCCCATGGCAGGGGGTTGGAACCAGATGGGCTGTGAGGTCCCTTCCAACCCAAACCATTTTGTGATTCTATGATTCTACAATCTGATTATAAGCACTTCAAGGAAACGTGAGGTCCTCAAAATACACAGGGATGCAAAGATTTCATTCCGGACATGATTTGGGAGCCTTCATTATACTTTTAACAGTCGTCAGCCTCAACAACTGCAAGGTTACTAACAAGCAAAATCTCCCGCTTCTTTTGCTTATTTCACTGACTGAAAAATAAGCAATCAATATCCTCTAAAATGCAGACTGATTCTAATCCTACAGATATGAACACCATTATTTTAAATAACTTGTCCGTTCAGCATTTTTATTAGTATCATACTCTTAGTATATAAATCACTAAATAAGTATTGCATGTTAACTTTACGTGACGGTTCAACATTGTATAACTTACAGCTCTTGAACTGCTTTTTTTTAATTTAAAAAAAAAAAAAAAGAAATTAGCACCTCATTGAATTTCCGAGCTTTCCGGAAAAAATATTAAGTGATTTCTGCTTTAGTACCATTAAATGCAGCCTTTAGATCAAGTATATATAGAAGCCACAAAAGGGTCAATGACGTACGTATCTGGATCAGCCAATCTAAGAATGAGGCAAACAGCTTACGAGGAAGCACGCAGCAGCAATCTAATCTACATGCGAGACCATTATAAACATCACGGTTCGCAATTCAGGCAAGCTTCCTTGCTGTACTGAAGTAAGCGAGCCCCAAGAAGAACTCTGGATCACAGCTGCACCAGTCATTCTGACTTTAGCTCTCTGCCCAAGTTAAGCACCTCAATTCAAGCAATAGGACAATCGGTTCTACACGCTGACAAGAGTTACCTGCTAACTTTGCTTTGCCTCACGAAACTTCCAGCTGAACAGCCATTTGACTCACGGCTGCAGAAATCAGTTCTGCTGAAGTTTGGCCCGTTAAACTGTTCCCCGCTGGAGCTGGCTCCCGCACACATGGCGCAGCCTAAGTCCGCACC